CTGGGGGGGGGGGTTTTCTTTTGTTCTTTCTTGCTGAAAAGGCGGTCCTCCAATCCCTCCCCTGGGGGGTCGGTTTCCCTCCTTTCTTTTCTTTGAAAGGGCGATTTTGGGACACAGGGGAACGGGAGCGGGAGGGCTTCTCGACCCGGAGGGGGGCTGGGCAGGGTTATCCCCCGCTCGGCCTCCCACTTTCTCATGATACAAGACGGCCACCTCGCTTTGCCCTCCCGAAGCCTAGACGCTCGCTGCCCCTCGCTCGCACGTTCGCGCTCGACCTTCTACCTCCTCGTGTCAACACCGCCGCCACCCTAACGCAGTGTGTGTGTGTGTGTGTGTGTGTGTGTGTGTGTGTGTGTGTGTGTGTGTGTGTGTGTGTGTGTGTGTGTGTGTGTGTGTGTGTGTGTGTGTGTGTGTGTGTGTGTGTGTGTGTGTGTGTGTGTGTGTGTGAGTGTGTGTGTGTGTGTGTGTGTGTGTGTGTGTGTGTGTGTGTGGATGTGTCTGTGTCCCTGTCGTGTCGTGTGTGTGTCGTGTGTTTAACTCTCGCACTAGCTCTCGCCCTCTCGCAAGCCTGGCGCCCTGGCCTCCGCCCTAACCGCCCGGCGGCCCGCACGCTCGACAGAACCCGGACGACGTGCGTGTTTCCTTCTCTACGAAAACACACACTCCCAAGTCAGCGCCATCGAGCAGACATCGAGAACAACAAGACTTTGGCGAGCCAACGCAGCCGAGAGATAAAATCTTCGCAAGAGGAGAGCCTAGAGTCTCTTGCACTTGCTAGAGCGGTGCAGCCAGGCCGCACAGCGCGAACTCGGTACTCGCCGTACTGACTGAGCCTAGCGCAGCGCGAACTCGCCGTCTGAGCCTAGCGCAGCGCGAACTCGCTCCTGTCGCTGCGCAACCCTAGCCGAGCTCCATTTTTTTCGCTCTCTTTTTTAGCCGCCGCCGCCCATCTCTCCTGGAGAAAAGAAAGAAAGAAAACACACAACCCAAGGGCTGGAGATGCTCTCGCTTTCGAAGGTTTCAGTTTCTTCAAAAGCCCCTGGGGACGCTCAAGCCACCTTGTTGTTGCCGCTGCGCAGGCGAACGATGCTCCTCGCCGCGCACCTTGCGGCGCAGGCCCACACGCACGGCGGTCTCGGTCCCGGCCCAGGCCCGTGGGCTCACGAGCCTGCCGAGCTGCACAGCCTCTCGAGCACGGCGCTCGACGAGGCGGCAGAGCGGCTCAGCAGGGAGCTCCCGCACCGGTACTGCTTTCTGGTGGCCAAGGACGGCGCAGTGGTGCACGAGTCGTACTCGGCAAACTCGTCGGAGACCCTCTACTCGATGGACTCGGCGATGAAGCTCGGGACTGCCGCGCTCATCGGGATAGCGCACGCCGACGGGATGCTCGACCTCGACGCGCCGCTCGCCGAGTACGGCCTCGAGCCGACGGCGGACTGGGGACCGTACTGGCCGCTCGTGACGACGCGCCACCTCCTCTCCATGGTCTCTGGCCTCGGCCAGAAGCCGCCGGGCACCGCCTTTGCGTACGACTCCGGCTCGCACCTGCAGGAGCTCATCTGGCTGCTCGAGCACGTCACGCGCGAGGCGTCGGTGCACTGGGCGACGCGGCGGCTGGCGATACCGCTCGGCGTGCCAAAC